AAGTCAGCCAGAAAGGGGTTAGTTTTCAATTACGCCACAACCGACAAAAGAATAAAGTGGCACTAAAGCACCCCAACCGATGAATTACCTCAGCGAGTAGTGAGTTAACGTGTTCTATGTTCACATGGTTTATACCCGGCACCGCCTCCTTCTCGGACCGGGTAAGGGTCCTCAGCATTATCTTGGCGTAATTTTGGAGATCCGGCCAACGAGAAGAGACATCTGTATCAATAGATTTATAGGTTAAGTACTGAGCATAGGCGGCACCTACATTCTGCCGGCTGCCTGAATAATCCCCTGATTCAGTAGCTTGGGACTTGACTCGCATAGGCCCAAGCGGCCAGGGGGGATCAAAGGTGAGAGCCGTACCTTGATTTTCTGACTGAGGGGTCACTCCACCCCCGGCCGCATTGGAGCCAGATGCTACAACAAGCACCCGACTTGAGGGAATTTCAGGCTCCCTCGTTCTAACCGTAGCCGACCCCGAGCTTAGGCAAAGATCTTTCAGGCTTTTTCCTGCTGAGGTAGGCCTCTCAAGCGCAGGCAACCATCCGGTAGAGGCAAGGGCAGCCGAAACCCTTCTTGTTTTGGAAGCAGGCTGGGAGGGCTCCTCTCCCGGTCTCTTTAGCATCTGTCTAAGAGAACAAGGAACATTCTTGCTCCCCATCTGAGAATGAAAATAACACAACCAATTAATATAAAAAATAAGCGTCAAACAATACAAACGGTAAAAGAGCTCAGCCGGCGCTTACCCCATCATCTTTGGCCGCCAGTTGGGCCCTCTTTTTCTCCCATTGATCCTTCCGGATCTCTGCAGCAGACTTAGCCAATGTCTTTTTAGGTGGCACCATCTCTAATCCTTTCTCTGCAAGGAAGAAAAATCAAAAAGTTAAAATCCATTCAAGCATGATATAGACGGCATAAAGTGCCGGTTAACAATCAACATACGTCTGCTAAACATTGTGCTTAGGCCACAAGCGGAAAGGAACGCCTCGTCCTTTAGCTAGTCCGGATGAGGGACCCAGTTTTTAGGGACAATGACTTATGTCCCATCATCCAAGGCAAGGAGGTCTTTTGAAGAGACCCTTCTCCATTATTTGATCCCAAGCCTCCTCAGTACTTGAAGAAGGGTGCATTTCTTTCCAAGGAGAGCCGGGTGTGTGTTGTAGCGATGCAGCCGGTGTTTTAGTTGCAGCAAGGGGGAAGAGACCATGTAAAATTTGCTCTTCCAGCTGCTCCACTTTGACGGCTTGTCAAACGTCATCATGAATTCTGGATGCCTGGTCAATGTATACCACGCATTCCAGCCACCTGGGGCACGGCTGAGGTAGTGCATATGTGCATACGCCTCCCAGATAGGCGTTATTTCCTGCATCTTGCAGGCGACGATATATCCTAGTATATTCACCCAAGAGTTGGGTGTTAGCTGCCAGACACCAAGGTCGTAACCCCTTAGAATGGCCTTTATTGTATTATGGAGGGGGAACCGGAGGCCGACTTTGAACGCCGTCTCATAGCAGCCAAAATAATCATTAGCATGGTCAAGGTCGTCATCCCAGACGACGGTTGCCTCGACAGGCGGCACAACAATCTCCCATCCGGCCCCAACCGGGCGCTTTTCCAAAAATGCGGGAAGGGTGGCATTTAAAGTGACCACATCCCGGGCAGTCATATGCGCCTGTGTTAGATTGTTGATAGAGGGCCATTTATATGCCTCTTCATCCTCTTGAGGGGCATCCGATTCCAAAGTAGACTTAGTAGAGCCTGATTGCTAGACGGTCTCTTCGCCGCCTGTATCCTCGGATTCGTCCAAGATATCATCCCCGAGCTTGCTAGGTACGCCCGGCTGGTCATAAGGTACATAGTTCGCTGGAACTTCGCCTGAGCCGTCTGACTGATATTCAAGGTCTATAGCCGTCCGTCTCGTCCGAGCCATTCTGTCCTACACATGAACAGAGACAATCAGATTCGCAGAAGAGTAAGGGTGGTCCAATCACCCCCAGACGGCATCCCCAATCCTAGACTCAGCTGTAGCCTGTCATGCCGTACCGTGTGTGTGTTGGGTGAATACATTATTCTTTACAAGCTATACAACTGGAAAAAGCACAAAAAAGTTGCAAGGGGTAGCGACGGTAACTTGAAGTTGTAAAAAATCTGAAGACGGTTGACTCCTTGAAGTCAGCAGCCGGAAATCCTCTTTGTTGCTTGATGATACCCTAGACGGTATCCCGGATGTACCCCCTTGAAGAGCAACTGAATTTCACTAAAGACCCAGACGTTTTTCTGGAAATTTTCTTGAAGATACCCCAGATGGTTGTGATCGGCTGTGAGTGTATTGGGAGCTAAGGAAAGGTCAAAGGGTCCTCAGGCGGTTTGAAGAAAATTTGCTTGAAAATGTCCTAGACGGTTGTGACCGGCTGTGAGTATAGTAAGAGCAAAGGGAAGGAATTTGAGTATGGTCAGGCGGTATCTATGAGCTTTGAGCAAAGAGCACTCAGACGGAAGCCGAATGAGTGAAAGAAGGGAAGTTTTTGCAAATAAGAGAAGCCGGTTTAAGAGCTTTTCTCCCAGAAAGTTTTTCGAAAATTTGCAAAGTGTTGAAAATGAGGGGGAGGGTTTTTACTTATAGAAGAACCTAGAAGGCGAACCATCACCTCCCCATTTCAAATTCAAATTCAAAAAAAAAAAGAGAGAGAAGGAGACGAAGCGTCACCTTCTCAGAGCGTGACACCTGTCACAAGTGCCACGTGGCAAGCCACGTCACACCTATGAGGAGCAAATGTTTAGGGTAAAAATATCATGTCCACTTGGCCCTATAGCATGCTGACACGTGTCAGAGAGGTCCTAGGGGATCTAATCCCCTACTGACACGTGGCACTTTAACCCTAAAAGGAGAACTGATCCCCTTCCTCTATAAATAGAGGAAAATCCTCATTTATTACACATTCATAAATATACACACAAAACCCGAGCAATATTAATTGTAGAATTCTCTCGGAATCCGAGAGAAAAACCTTTACATTCCGCACTTTTATACATCCGGAAACGTTCTAACTTGATCGTCGGAGGCAGAACTCCACCCAGCCGGAGTTTCCCTGGTTTTGCAGGTACAGACGGTCGACGCGCATTCTTGGAATTGTAACTCTCCTGAGGGACTCCAAAAACCCCAAAACACCCTTGTTACCTCACTTTTATTCTTTTTCCTTTATAGTCACATGGAAATTTTTATTATATTATTCATTTTTTAACCTTTGTGATCAACTCAAATGGTGTAGTTAAAAAAAAAAAAAAAGAGAAAGTATAAATTAGTGTAAAATACGGACACATCACATGCTAGACATGCATGATACCTAAATAAAACATGTTATGTGGAGGCGTGTTTTGTGTGTGAATATACCCAAAATTGTTGATACCGTTAAAATGAGTATTTTATATAAACAAGATTTGACCATTTATTTGTTTGATATAAAGGGTATTCCATATATGCTATATAACTAAGAGGATTGTTGGTTGTTATATTAAAAACTACATGTCTAATACACGCATATATTTTGTAACTTTATACATAAATTCATATATTGGCCCTAAAGTTGAAATTAGATTGACTTGGATATTAAACAAAATAATAAATAAATAAATCATGTGGCGTTAGCATGACACTAACAAGATAATATAGCATGAGAGTTATGTTGTAGATACTAAGATTTAATTGAATAGGTAATAAAATAAAAAAATAGCATAAAACTTTATTTAAGTTTAATTCATATATTTCCCGGAAGAAATTAGTACAATTTATCACGCATAGAAAAAAACAACATTATCATTCTTAACATTTGTTTGGATTAGTTTTGATCCTTTTTGGCAAGCTCTGCATTAACCTCCTCCAACTTCACGTTACTGAAGGCAAAAATACCTTGCAACTCTTCCAACGACAAATCTTCCTTTTTTGTTGTTCCCTTCATGAGTGAAGTGAACAAGTTTTTCATCTTGAGTCGATGATTTTTCTCTTTCAACTTGAGGAGTTTTTTTAGAAGCATTTTAATTTGTATTTTCTTAAACAGATTCTCTAATTTCATAGCCTTCTCACTTTATTCTTTGTCATCGTTGGGATTAAATATGACTAGAGTTTTTGCCTTGAATTCAGTTGACAAAACATCTATCTCTTTCACAAGATTGCTCATAAGCTTTTCAATGTTAGTGTTTGCTTCATACATGGTTTATATGAATTAGAGCGTTTGTAAGATAAATGGAACGTGAGATTTACTTAAACATATTTGCCTATATATAGAGGTTCATTTGATGTTATGAAGTTATTTGGTTTTTTTTTTCTTAAAAAAAAAAAAAACAATATTATCATGACATTTTTAATGTAATAAATATAAAAAAATAACCATTGAAAAATTTCCTCAAATTGCTTAACAATGCTGTTAGGAAAATCTCCTTACGGATTTCTTACCAAGTTTCAATCATCCAATTAATAAATGATGTGTAGACTACATACCTTTTTATATAAGTTGATGTAAAGGAATTATTTATACTGATTAAAACTTATTTAACCTGTAATATATATACCATGGAAAGAAAAAAAATAGTCAGTCTCGGACAAGGCGAAACGAAACAACGATTTGATCTATGAAGGTTACACCTCATTCATAATCCATGTGATTACTAACTCTATAATGGTCCTGAACCATAACTAGATATGGGATGATGGTACAAATTGAGTCATGAACCCAATGACGCCCGTATTGGCCTCTATTCGATTCTTATAGTGACAGGTATTAATTGCAACCCAAGAGACATACAAACAAGATTCAATTCGCTCCAAACTAATTAATCTAAGTTGGTTGAATATTTGATGCACACATAAGTATAATTATTGTGATCACTTGAATTAAACAACAAGATTACTAGGAACCTAAATTGGGTGTCCAAATTATCTTATTAGGCATGATTTTCAATTACATATTCCCCATTAAGCATGCAATATAGGTGATTAAAGCAAATAGAATAAAATAAAGGATTTTTTGTGACAAACTACCTATTACAGTCCATAAATTGCAAGAAACTACCTAAAAACTGTTGTAATTAACTACCTATCAAAGTGTAAAATGTTGTAATTGACTACCTCTCACAGGATTCTCAGCCTTGACTTTTTTTCACCGGGGTTACCACAATCAACCGCCATTACCAATCACCAATTCAAGCCTCTGCTCCATCGCATACACCAAGCATCACCCACAACACAAACCGTAGCCCCAGACATCTCCCTTCTCTTGCCCACAACAAGACAACACCAGCAACTGCTGCCACCACTCACCACCAGCAATCAACTCCAGCTCGCATCACAGCCACAGCTCCCACTCATCCGCCACCCTGCAATAAGCGCACCTCCATTGCAGTAGCCCCATCTCCACCTCTCGCAACTAAATGCCACTACTCACCACCCACACCACAACTCTCAACCCCGACCACCCCAACGGCCACAAAACCACCATTGCCGCCCAACAATAGGCCAAAAATCAAAGCAAAGCAAGAAGTCCGTCCAGTGACGAATTCAACCCTTATGACCCCCAAAATTCTTAATTTTACTTTGTATCTCCAATCTTTGAGGTAAATTCTCCTTTTCTACATTCTAATTTAGGTAGATTTTCTTAATTTTATGTTTCTGTAATGGTTTTCGATTGAAACCCTTTTTCGATTAATAATTTTTATCCCAAAAATTGATAAATTAAAGTCCAAACTTACCAAATCAGGTTATTAGATGCTAAATTTTTAATGCCCTGTGCAATTCGCCATTAATATTCATCATAGCTTCTGCAATTTTTGTCAAATTAGTGTGGTTGAGGAAGTGGTAATGAGAAGAGAGGGAGATGAACAGTGGTTTTGTCGAAGGAGTTCTGGTGGGGAAATTTGGGGAAAAAATGGGGGAACTGAGTCATTAAAGGTCACGTGACACCCACGTGACATGGTTAACGCCGAAAAAAAAAGTCAAATTTGCGATTCTGGTGGAAGGTAGTCAATTACAACATTTTATACTTTAAGGGAATGCTTGGATTGGGGATAATATACTAAGGGGATAATAAAAGTCAACTTTGAAAAAACACAAGTAATGAAAAGTGTTGTTGTAGTAGACAATGTATTTATAAATGAAATAAGATAGTTGTGATATGAGGAAAAGAGATATATGGAGGAATTATTATCCTCATAATGAGGGTAATAGTTACCCATCCTCCTCCTAGTGTAACTATTACCCCCAAAATGAGGGTATTAGTTTCTCTTTCTTCACCTCATACCACACCATCACTACATAATTTTCCTTACAATCAAGCCATCACTATTTCCTCCTTCTCTATATTTACTTTCATTTTGCTTAGTTTGACTTTTATTACCCTAGTAATACATCTCCCTCAATCCAAGCATGCCCTAAAAGATAGTTAATTACAACATTTTTTTATTAGGTAGTTTTTCGCAAAATTTGGAGTTTAAAAGGTGGTTTTTTACAATAATTCCTAAAATAAATAAACGAGCATAAAAATATTGGAAGCAACTCAATAATTATTTATTGAATCAAAAGCATCCTAAACATGATACTAATTAATTATTAATAAAATTTTAGGCATGATACTAACAAGATTCGCCGAAACTAATAATTAAAAACAACAATCCTAAACATGATACTAATAATTAAAAATAAAGTTCCTGAACATGATGCTATTTATTTCAGGGTTTCTGTGTCCCTCAGGAGAGTTACGTCACTATGTCTGGATTTTGGGAGCTTGTACCTGTAAAACAACGGAGACTCCGGTTGGGTGGAGTTCTGCCTCCGATGATCAAGTTAGAACCAGTTGAAGAATGTAAAAAGGTGCGGAAAGTAAAGTGAGATCTTCTCGAATTCCGAGATCAGGTATTTTCTCTAAGGTGAGAGAATTCAGTGTTTTTTTTATAATTAAATGTGTCCCCAAAGTGGGGTAAATCTCCCTATTTATAGGGTCATTGAGATTTGTGCACCTGTCCTAGGTTACGGAAACCTAGGACTAATGGGCTGCGCCGTTTTAGGGCAGTCTAGGGAGTTAGGCCTTGAAGGCTGCCAATTCCATATGGGGTATCTGCCTTCCTTGTGTCTAGCCCTAGTAGGTCTACTTTGGGATCTCGCTAGGGTGACACGTGTCACGCTCTGGTTGGTCCACATGGCGGGGTAAAATTATTGGGTTTTGTAGCGTCCAACGCTACGCGGAAGACAAACCCGCCCAAGACCCGCCCCAATAATTAAAGCAATAAAGCATGCATAGACATAATTAAACAATAATTAAAAAAAGGGATAAAGAAGTAATACACTTGAAGTGTGCTTCGCTCCTAAACCAAGCTCTTACTTCGAAGCTTAAAGCCTCACAAGCGTGACCGCCTCCAACGGCTTGTACCCACGACCCGACCCGAACGATCTTCGTCTCGAGGGTTAGTCGAGACTTGACCAAGTATAAAACTAGAGTTTTACGAACTTAAAGGTTTTCTTAATAATAAGAGATGCCTTTTTAAGTTCCACTCAAGTTGATTCCCAAATGCCCAATCATGGGGTAATAATAGGGAAATGCAACTTGCTCTTCCCATTCATGATCAATGTGGGATAGTTGCATTTTTCACTAATTTATTTAATTCCAAAACAATTTATAAAACAATGCAATTACAAATCAACAAGTGGCATGAGGAGAGGAGAGGTTAGGTCAGGATCATGACTATGGGGGGACCATTGCCTTGCTCCCCAAGGCATGGCTCTAAGCCTTAGTCCCCACTCTCCTCAAACCGGCATTAAGCAAAGGGGTGAGCTAGCTGCCAGCCTTGCTGGCCAGCATGCACTGCCAGCCCAGCACAGCTAGCACGCATCAGCCAGCACGCCTAGCACATGCGTGCTGCTAGCGAGCCACGCATGCTGCTGGCTGCTGGGCGCTGGGCGAGGGCTCGCTGCTTGCTGCTGCTGCTGTGCGAGGCTGCTAGCTTGCTGCTCGCTGCTTGCTGCTTAGTGCTGCCATACGAAAGCACGCACACAAGCAAGCAAGCACAGCGTGCTGCTGCTGTGATGGCATGCACGCACACGCACACGCACACACACACAGGCCTAGCAATGCGATGGTGTTGTGCTATGCGAAGGCACGCACACACGCAAGCACGCTGCTGCTGCTTGGTGCTTCCATGCCAAGGCACGCACACAAGCACGCATGGTGCTGCCATGCGAGGCACGCACATACGCAAGCACATAATGCTAGCGATGGTGCGTCTAGGCTTGCGCCAAGCCATGTAAAGTGCATGCTAGCTCGAGCTAGCCTAGCGCCGACATGGCTAGGCCATTGTGATGCTACGACTACGCTCGAACTTGTTGCTTGTTGATTTTGCGACGCTCGGTTTCGACGCCCTAGGCTCGATATCCGACGTCTGTGTTCGTAATACTCTAGTGACTCACCAAATCCTTCGGATTGAGTCTTCGGTTCGGATCGACAGTTCGTTTGGGTTTGACCCAAAGGGTTCAGTCAAGACAACACTGTTACATTAATTATTCACTAACATTACAAATCGGAAACGGCCTCTTCCCAGGCATTTTGATCACTTGATCTCACCGAAGAATTAGCTTCCTAATAATTCTGAACCCTCTATCAGAATAATACACTTGTTGGAATGACACCATTCCATTCAGTCTTCCACTTGTCTTTCCGGACAAGTGTGCATATAGTGTATAGCCCGTTTCCTATGTTGCTTAATGTCTCTTCATGAACTATAAGGTAAGAATCTTCGTCATCCTTATTACGTCCAGAAGTGTTTCTCGATCTCTGAGTTCGACTGTCAATAAGCAAATGATCTCTAAAATCCATCTGAGCACGGCCATGCATTTTCACAGTCTCACTCTTCGAGCGGCCTTGTAAACAACAAAGACATATTCCCTATTTTTTAATAGGGGGACATTCCCAGTCTTGTACTGTAAGCCTCTCTTACTAAGAGGACCTAATCTCCTGAGTGTTTCCGTTACAATCCCCAGTTACGGCGGACGTTTGACAACATCAAAGAGACTAGTACTCAAACAAGAGAACTTCACAATACTCATGGTTAAGGAAACAGGTTCCGATAGCAATAATGAGAAATGTACTTATGACGTTTTTAAATCTCTTAAAGTACTTTCATAGGTCGATCCAGTGCAATTCCAAACTAGCACCTGTGCAAACGATTTATGACTACTACGTCCTTGCAGCACATGAAACGATGCTGTAAATCATACTACACACTAATCTCCAGTGGTCATTAATCGTCCATCAGTTAAATGACCTCGATTAGGGATAATTTTCGATTTAAATATTGAATGTTCACTTAACATGTGTTTCTTTATCCAAGACATGGTCTTGATACCCTGTTTTGAATATTCTAAGAAATCGAATGGACTCATTATTTAATTCTAAACCACAATTAAATAGCAATGGAGTGAATAGTAATTTTGCATGAAAAACTAATTACTCCATAAATGATTGGTTTCAACATTGTGTTTTACATTAAGACATCTAGTTTAATTAAAACACATGTATAGGGAATTCAAAGCCAATCTCCAACGTGCTTGATTCCCATTGCCTCGACGTGCTTGTTGTGCTTCACTTGAGGCAAAGGTTTAGTCAAAGGATCGGCCACATTGTCATCCGTTCCGATCTTACAAATTCTGATTTCACCTTCGGATTTCCATTCCCTTATCATGTGAAATTTCCTTTGGACATGTTTGACCTTCTGGTGCTCTCTTGGCTCTCTAGCCTGAGCAATAGCTCCATTGTTGTCACAATAGATGTCTATTGGACCCTTGATGGAGGTTACAACACCAAGTTCACTGGCGAACTTACGAATCCAAGCTGCCTCCTTAGCTGCTTCCGAAGCTACAAAGTATTCGGCTTCAGTTATAGAATCTGCAGTGGTGCTTTGCTTGACACTCTTCCAACTAAACGCTCCTCCATTTAGGAAAAATATATACCCTGACTGTGACTTGAAGTTGTCTCTGTCAGTCTGGAAGCTAGCGTCGGTGTAACCTTCAACAACCAAATATTTGTGGCCACCATAGACCAGGAATTTATCCTTGTTCCTTCTTAGGTACTTTAGGATATTCTTGGTCGCAGTCCAATGCGTCTCTCCTGAGTCTGATTGGTATCGGCTCGTAGCACTTAAAGCGTACGATACATCAGGCCTAGTACATATCATGGCATACATGATCGATCCAATTAGCGAAGCATATGGAATCTGATTCATTCTGTCTCGCTTAACAAGTGTCTGTGGACACTGTTTCTTGCTGAGATTTACGCCATGGGACATGGGTAGGTGCCCTCTCTTGGCATTCTCCATGCTAAATCGTGCCAGTACTTTATCAATGTAAGTACTCTGGCTTAATCCAATCATCCTTTTAAATCTATCCCTATAGATCTTGATGCTCAATATGTACTGTGCCTCTCCTAAGTCCTTCATTGAAAAGCACTTTCCCAGCCAACCTTTTACGGACTCTAATAACTTTGTGCTGTTTCTAATGGGCAATATGTCATCGACATATAGGACTAGGAATTCGATGTCACTCCAACTGACCTTCTTGTAAAAATAAGACTCATCTGGATTCTTGATAAAACCAAATTTACTGATGGCTTCATCAAATCGCATATTCCAACTTCTGCTTGCCTGCTTCAGTCGATAAATGGACTTCTTAAGCTTGCATACCTTTCCAGCGTTGCTTGGATCAACTAAACCTTCCGGCTGTGTCATATACAAAGTTTCTTCTAAAATCCCATTAAGGAAGGCGGTTTTGACGTCCATTTGCCATATTTCGTAATCGTAATATGCAGCAATCGCTAGGATGATCCGGACGGACTTAAGCATTGCGACTGGAGAAAAGGTTTCATCATAATTAATCCCTTGGATTTTCCTGTAACCTTTTGCCACCAGTCTAGCTTTGTATATCAATACATTTCCATCTTTGTCTGTTTTCAATTTGAAAATCCATTTGCAACCGATGGGTGTGTAACCTTCGGGCAAATTTACCAAGTCCCAGACTTGATTTTTAGACATGGAATCCATCTCAGATTTCATGGCCTCTTGCCATTTAGCAAAGTCGAGGCTCGTCATAGCTTGTTTTTATGTCGCTGGCTCATCTCCATCCACGACTAGGATGTCCTGATCTTCGGTTAAGACAATACCAAGGTATCTGTCTGGTTGAGATCTTGGCCGTTGCGATCTACGAAGGGTAATAGGTTGAGCATTTACATTGTTTGTTTGATTCTGACCAATCTTATCACTTGCTTCTAAAGCATTTTGATTGTCAGTTTTATCAGGTTGACATTATTGCTCGTCCTCTAGAACTTCGTTGAGTTCGATTTTCCTCCCACTTGTCATTTTGGAAAGGTGTTCCTTCTCCAAAAAGACACCGTCACGAACAACAAACACTTTGTTCTCGGATTTATTGTAGAATTAATACCCTTTGGTTTCTTTTAGGTAGCCCACAAAGAAACACTTGTCCGATTTTGGGTGAAGTTTGTCAGAAATTAATCTCTTGACATATGCTTCGCAACCCCAAATCTTCAGAAAAGACAACCTTGGAGGTTTCTTATTCCATAATTCATATGGAGTCTTTTCGACAGCTTTTGACGGAGCACGGTTCAGTGTTAGTGTCGTAGTTAGTAGCGCGTGTTCCCAGAAAAGATAGGAAGTTCACTAAGACCCATCATTGATAGAACCATGTCTAACAAGGTTCGATTTCTCCTTTCGGATACTCCATTCCATTAAGGAGTTCCAGGAGGTGTCAACTCTGAAAGAATACCATTTTCTTTCAAGTGATCGTCGAATTCATGGCTTAAATATTCGCCACCTCAATCCGATCGAAGTGCTTTAATCTTCTTGCAAAGTTGA